ATCCCTGCTCTCTCTCTGCTACACAGAAGGCTGAGGCAGGAGGAAGCAAATTCGAGGTCAGCCTGGACAATTTAAGGAAACTCTGTTTCAAAATAAAAAATAAAAGGGTTGGGGATGTAGCTCAGTGGTAAAATGGTTGCCTAGCAAGTGTAAGGCTCTGGGTGTGGTGGTGAAGAACGAATATATCCCAGTTGGCCAATAATTTGCTTTAGTTCATTGGTCTTTTTCTGCAGTATTGGGGATTGAGTCCGGAGCCTTCACATGAGCTACATCCCCAGCCCTTTTTAAGTTTTTGGAGACAGGGTATAATTAGTCAGTCAAGTAAACCAAGCTGGGCTTGAACTTGCAATTCTCGTGCCTCAGCCTCCCAGAGTTCCAGGACTACAGGCATGTACCACCGTGCCTGGTTTGGCCAATTGGTCTTTAATAAACATGGTACAGGCTGTGGCTTTTGCCTTAGGGCTTCATGTCTATTGTGCTTGCAACCCTGAAGTCAACATATGGTCCACAGATCTCACATGTTGCCTACCAGAAGATGAGAACCCATATGGAGAACCAAGGCACCAACAGCCCCATGTGTCCCATACGAATGTCCCATATCATTATTTGTGTGCCATTGTTCCAGAGATGCGTGGAACAGCATGCTATGCGTGGAACAGCAGCAGAGATCAGCTCAGCTGCCCAGACCAAAGAACAACTTGGCACACTCAGAGACTTAAGAGGCAAAAAGAGTAGTTATTGTTTTAAGACACTGAGTTTGGGGAAGATTCAATACCCTGAAAAAGCTGAAATGCAATCTGACAAAAGAGTCAGATTCTTAGATGAAGGGTTCAGATCAGTTCTCCATTTATAAACTTTTGGAGACCACAGAGTCTCCATCAAATGGTTATTTTTTTAAAATGTTGATATCAGAAGAATGTTTCCTAAAGCAACTGCTAAACTAAGGGAATCTTTTAGAGATACTGAAGTTTTCTGTGCTATTAATATATGATGTGTGGAATTTGCTTTCCATAATCTCAGGTGGAGGCAGGGAAGGGTGCAGAATGGACAGGGTGAGACAGCCAGGAGTTACAGCTGAAGTTGAATGTGGGTGCGGGTTCATTATACTATTATCGCTACTTCTGTGTGTTTGAAACCTCTTGTAATGAACTAAAAAAAAAAAAAAAAAATCCAAAGTGAGAAACAACAAAGCAAAAACAAAAAATAACCACTGCACACCTGGGAATGCAAGAATAAGACAAAGTTAACCTTACAATGCAGAAATAAAATCATTTTATTTTTCACTACTAAATGGGTAAAATTATTTACTACAGAAGTTTTAAATATTGCTCCCTCAATCTCTCATACTCCTTTCCAAGGTGGGGGAAGAGTAGCGAGAAGGGCCTTCTGTCATCCAAGAAGTGGTCAGTATGAATACACCACCGACACTCACAAGCCAGCCCTGGAGTGGAGCTCAAGAAGTGTGTCTGTGTCTCTCGGGCCTTAAGGGGATCCAGAAATGTATGTGACTGAGACTAAGCTCATCAACATGCCTGGGCCAAAGAAGGAATGTCCCATAACATATTTGTGTGCCATTGTTCAGAAAATGTAATGAAATGAAGATTCATCAATCAAGCTCTAGCTATACTTTGGTAACTTACATCCCTGTTACCATGTTCACAAGTCTACAGTGAATGCGGACCAGAACTGCTCATTGTCAAAGAAAGTAACAAAAAATGATTTCAAAATATCTTTCCCAAACTGAGAATTATTCACGTAACCAGTGATTCACAGAACATGGGACCAGTTTTTAAATTTTCTGTTCTAAGGTGCCATCATAATGTGTTTCAAGTCTTGTGAGAATCCAGGTCTCTGAGGATTCTAGACTCAGTATGTTGAGAGTTCAGAGCCAAATGCTAAAATTAGTTATGAAGTGGTTATGGCAGCATAGGGTTAGGAATGATGTATTTTAAGAGATTTAAGTCATCTACGGGAAAAGTTAATGAAAAAAAGTGTTAGTTAGCATTCTGTTACTGTAACAAATACCAGAGGCAATCAACCTAAAAAGAGGAAAGGTTTATTTTAGCTCAGTTTTGGATGCTTCAGTCCATGAGGAGTAGACCTCAAGGTCTACTTAGCCTTTGAAGGATAATCAGGAGTTGCCCTGTGACAGAGAACCAGAGACAAGCAGAGGGAAAATGAGCCATCTAGTTTGCTCCCCACCCATCATTTTGACATAGGAGTTGGTACATATTCTGTACCACTGTGATGTTTGGTAGATCAGGGTAAGTGTACCCATCTGCAAACATTTGTCCTTTCTTTGTGGTGCAAATAGGCAAAATCTATTCTTCTGGGTTGTTTGAAACATAGTATATGCGGACATTACGTATGGTCACCAGAACGTCTGTGCAACTTGTGGACCAACTGCTCCCCCCTGGCCTCTGGTGACTCTGTTGTACTCTGGCTTGGGGAAGGACAGTTGTTGCCTGGCCCTGGGTACTTTACACGTCGGGTGAGGGGTCTGAATGTTATTCTGCTCACATCTCTAGAAGAGTAATGGCTCTCTACCGCACCCAAATTAGGCGGCTGCTCATCATTTCCACGCACTTCTTTCTCTGGAATGTGCACCCTCCCCATGTTGTTTTTTAGCATCTTCCTTCAAACTATAATCGGCTACAAATGGACCGTCTGTAGGAAATTAGCTTAACTGTTCTTGAGCCATGGTGCTATGATTTTTTTTTTTCTTTTCAGGAGCTGATTAATCCTCTGATGTTAAAATAAATCCCGCAAAGCTGGGGCTTTGCATGCAGAAGAGGAAAGTAAAGCAGAAGAGCTAGGCTTTCTCTCAAGGGCAGCAGTGCTTGGCCTTTGGTTTCTTCTCATGTTTGTTCTCCCTTCAACATTTGACAGGGGCAGAAAATCAAGCCTGTTAAAAGCTGCTGTGCAGTTAACTGAAAAACAAAACAAGTGCCTCCCAACCCGCCAAACCTAGCAACTGTTAAAAAGTCTTGGTTGACTGTTTCCCTGCCACGTAGCTTCGCAGAAGAAATCCTCACACTCCCCTACGCAGGATAAATGTTATCTCTGGGCACACCTCTCCTCAGTATTTCTGTGGTGAGCCGCCATGATAGCTAGTGTGTACTCAAAACTTTGGTTTTCCTGGTGTGGTTTTTTTTCTTTTTCAGACAGGGTCTCACTATGCACTTCAGGCCGGCCTTGAGCTCACTTTGTAGCACAGGCTGGTCTCGAACTCGCAACGATCCTCCTGCCTCAGCCTCCAGGGCGCTGGGATTACAGGTGTGCACCACCAGGCCCGGCTTCTTAGTGCATTTCAAGGAAAAAGGGACTCATGCAAAACAGCTGCTCAGAATTTCTACAGTTACTCCTTATACCAGTGTAGCATTTCACCAGGAAAAACTAGTTTTGTTTTTTGTTTTTTAACACTGCCCTAAGTCATTGATTTTTTTGAAGATCTGTCAAATATCCCAAGTCACCAAAACAAACCCGTGATTAATCCTGTAAATCCCGGCATTTTCAAAAGACTAAAGAGGCCTTTTTCTCCCCTCTCCAACCATCTACCTTCCAGGCAGTGTTACAAGTCACTCTGAGAGCAGGGCCCATGCCAGCACGGCGCCCCACGCTGTCAGGTAACCATGTCTGTGGCAAAACACTTCGCTGTACAGCAACTGGAGCTTTAGCCGTTTCTTTTAACCATAGCAAATACTCCCTTGTTCCAACAATAGCAAAAGAAAACAAGTTTTTTTTTTTTAAAGACTTCTTAGTTTGGGGAGGGATTCAAGTGCTCAAGTAAATGTCGTTTCAACTTTAAAAGATCCTAACTCTCAGAGAAGGCTGTACAAAGGACTTGTTTCCAAAATCACATATTCTTAGCTATTTAGATAGATCTCAATTTTGTATCTCAGTTTTCCATGGGATCCACAGTTAAAATTGTATGCTGAAGGTGAGGTTCTGAAAAAGAATTTCAAGTGGCTGAAGACACATGGTCAGAGTCCAAACACAGCCCTGAATATGTACTCCCACCACCGCACCTCCACTTCTGCAATGTGGAGGGAAGCCCACGTCCTGTTTGGAGGAGAAAAGCAAAGCACTTTCAAAAGTGCCAGCTAAATAAAGGTGGAAACAACGCCAGAAATTATTTGACAGCTTACTTAGCTGAAGTCATAAAAGAACGTCCATTTGATATTTGATGAGAATAGTTTAATAGCCAAAAACCTGTAACCCTGTCCAATCATGAGAAAACCATCAGGTAAATACATCCAATAGAGGAACATTATATAAACCCCTGATCGATAATATCCTTAAAATTGCCAAGGTGATCAAAACAAGGCAAGCCTGAGAAAGTCTGTAATAGCCACGAGGAGCAAAGTGACATGGTAACTAAATGTCATGTGGGACCCTGGGTGAGTTCCGGGACAGCAAAGGCATTAGGAAAAAGGAGATCTGAATCAGTTAAGAGGGTTCTGTTAGTAACATCACCAGTATTGCTTCATTAATAACGAAGATACCAAACTAAGAATGCAAGATGCTGAGGAAGCTGTAACGGGGTGGACCACAGGAAGATCCTAACTATTCTGCAATGTTTTCTGTAACTCATATTCTAAAATAGAATTTACTGGAAGAAAAAGTGAGAACATGTTGGTTTGCTTTTAAAACATTATTTAAATTACAGCAAGAACAGCAGCACCACATAACCGGAGAACCCAGGAGTCCAGACACACCCTAACGCAGTTTCAGCAACGGTAAGAGGAACAGAAAAATTAGTGGTTCCCTTTTCCTCTTCCCATGTCAGAGCATATTACCTGCCTGAGAACTACCTTGGAAGAAGTCCGCATCTCCATCTTCAGTTGAAAAAACTTTATACACTGATCGTAAGGTTAAAGTGCTGCTGCCGAAAAAATGTCTGTGCCTTAAATCACTACATGAAATTTTGCTTTCAGGCTTTCAACTCACCTCTTTCACATTTATCAAACTGTTAGTTTAAATAACATCATAGGATCAAGTCATTTATAACTTTTTATTAAATGTCAGTAATTTTTACAAAGCAAATATTAATAGCAAGAGGCAAAATTTTTTTGGCAAAACGTTTACAAGAGCAAAAAGCCTTAAAGAATAGCAACTCATTTTATAAAATCAAACCCTCCTTTCCATTTCTAGACTTCCTTTAGAAATAACTTACTGCCAATCCTGAACTACAGCACTGACCAAAAATTTACAACAGTATCATATAATGTGCGCAGTTCTCGGAAGGTTATAAAAAGATATACGTAAAAACCCTAAGCCACAAATACTTTTATGCAGAGCTACTACAGAGCACGTTTTGTTAGGTACAGTTTGTAAGAGGGTGTAACAAAATATACTTTTGGATAAGGCTTCTTGGAATAAATCAGCTCTTACCATAGAAGAATAGAGAAAAGCCACTTAAAACATTTTGCAATTCTGCTTTCAAGTAAGAGGAAAAGAGGGTAAACGGCATCGTTTGTTGAATTGTTACATGAACTTAACAAGGATTAATCCCCACCCTCTCCCTTTTATTCCCGGTGTCATCAAACAGGCATAGACTGAGGACAGATCATCAGTTAGTATAGTAAGGATGTTATAAACAAGCTTTTAAAATACAGATTAACATCACATGCCAAGCAGTTTATTACCACCAGTGACATTCACTGAATGGAAATTTTGTGCTATTACAGGTCCCTGATTCCAACCCCTCTCTACAAATCCATCATTAACAGCAGATTTGTACAGGTCAGGATTATCAACTCTGGAAATATTGCTTTATCAATAATGCTTTTAAAAGATCAATGTTCTGTGTAAGTTCTGGCATTTGAAACCAGGTGGTTATACCTGCACGGTGAACATATTAATTTAAGTACTAACTATATATTCATGATAGACATAATAATGCCAGCGGACAAACACTGTACTTCAAATGATGTGGATAACCACCTGCTAGCCCAAGGCCAGTACCTACTTGATGGTACTGAAAAAGTGAAAGGTCACTTGATTGAAAATGTTCAGGTTTAGGATACATTTATTAAGCCCTAACCTCGTACCATAAAGTGACAGGTGTGTGCTGGATCACCTGCTTTATCTGGAACAGAGACATAAACACATCCACTTGTCACCCCCCCCCCCTTCATGTTTACTAGATTCTGGACTGAAAAGCCAACTGATATCCTAGCACTAAAGAAAGGAAAGAAGACAGGAGGGGAAGAAAAAAACAGTACTTTTAGTCAAGTAGCACAGCACGAAGGTATCACCTGTTACTATTTCATATGCTGAAATTCTGGAGAAAGACCGAAGTAACCGGTACTGTCAAGATTTCCAGATGAAAAGGTGTGTACGAAACTTGTTCTTGATTCCTCAAATAAAACTAGAAGAAATGAAAGGGTAACACAGTGACTTCTCTAGATTTATTAGGGAGTTTGTTACAAACGTCTGGCTTGGTTTTACAGGCATGACTCCATGAATCCAAACAAGAAATTAAGAACTGACACTGCTATTTAGCCTTCTCATTACATATATAGAAATAACCTAAGTACAAATGGCACTGGAGAATCTAGTTTCAAATGCTTGTCTGTGGTTTTGTCTAAATATATCATCAAATAATGAAAGCACCAATTTGAGGGTTTCTCAAATAGCGATTTGAGTTTCAGAACATAACAGCATAATTTGGTAACTTTACTCTTTATATAAGGCATAACCGGACATGGGTACTAAGGCTGAAAAATACAGTGTATCAAAAGCAGAAGATAACAAGCATTTCGGTATACATTGAAAGTTAAGATTTAATTATAGGGCACAAGATTTCTGTGTCATCTAAATTAATACTTCTAATCATTTCTGGTAGTATGGTGTCTGCTGTCTTACTACCTTCTACTTTAAATCAACCACTGCCACCGACTGCGAAAGTTTTTTGCAAAGAGCCTGTATTTGTAAGATAAACCACAGGACTTTCTCTGAAGCTCTAGTCGACACAACTTGAACAAAAATGTTTTTTCTTTCCTCACTCTATTTCCTCAGCTGCAGCCATACTCCAGCTGTCAAGCACCCTCATCATGTAGTAATATTGAAATGAAGATCCAATTAATACCATATTTGGCAGAAAGCAACAATTCAGGCTACTAAGATGGTATTTAAGTGGCAGAGGCATGCCTCGAATTGCTTAGGTCCTTAAGAAACATCTGAAAAAAGAAGTCCGTATAAAAATTAAGGTCGAAGTTGTTGATCTCTGACTTACAAGGCAGCTCCGTAACGTCAGCAAAGACATGTGTGATATTTCTTCAGATCAATGAGAAGGCACTCAGAAGAGCAGAAAGTAATACAGAAGAACTAGGCACACTTTGTTCCAAACTGTAACCAGACTTGGAAAACTGAACACACCAAACAGCTTCAAATCTGAGTTTTTTTCGAGACTGAGGGGAAGCAGGTGAAAATCACAAGCACCTTTTTAGTTCTGATCATTAAATTTCATCTCCCTTTCCACAGAGTGGTATTTCAACTAAAAAAGGATCTGGCTTTCACGATACAGTTGAAAGACTTCTTTCAAATGGTTTAAAAAAATATACTATACAAAAATATGTGGGACTAAAGTCTTTGAACCTTACTATTCTACTGAATGTCGAAATAAGCCTGTGTAACTTAAATACAAGTAACTTATTGCCTCAAAATATCTTCTAGGTTTTATTTTAAAAGAATGGTGATTCTGAGACATTACATGCATCAGAAGAAAACTGCAAACACCCAAATGATAGCGTATCTAGTTGGTGACTGGACATTTCTTGGTAGTAGTCAAAACAGAGAAGGTTGGCTATTTCTGCTTTGTCAGGCAATATTGTTATCACAGACCTGAAATACAACTTAAACAAGCCTAAGTGTCCACTTTCTACAGGGAACTGACTTCAGCCTTCAACGGAGTTAAACGTCTTGGCCACTCAATAACTATTTGCTAAATTTACACAGACCACTAAACAGACCAAATATTACCATGCACATATTCAGAGACCGTATTCATTAGCACTGGGCTATGCTAACCCTGTGAATTTCAACAATGTATTCTTTTTGGCAAAAAGCACTAGAGGTGGAACTACTCCAACATGCATGAATTATATTTTGAACATTATGATGGTGGGCAACATGTCTGAAGCACATGTATACAAAGGCATGGACACACTGAATTCATATGGATATAATGACAGTGGAAGTTTCAATGCCAGAAAAGTTATTCCAAGAAGAAACCCCAGGTTAGCGCACTGAAAGGCCCAGCTCTCACCCTGACAGAAAGACAGCAAGAGCCACTGACTTAGAAAGACTCGGTGATCCACAATGCTGACCAATCTTTCAAGGTCCAAAAAAACTCCTGAGAACACAGTAAACTAATAGGTCTCACAGTCGTAATCCCAATTTTCAGGAAAAGCAGAAAAGCTGTCAGACTTTGCAAGCTGTCACCAGCCTCGTACATCCATATCTCTAATCCAATTTTAACACTACATATAACCTACCAGGCAACAATTTTGGACTGTAAACCAGCCACTCTGCTGCGCTCACTATGATATTATGCAGTCACTTGGTACTCACAAAGCTACATGGGCATGGTTGAAATTTGGTAAGCAGTGAGGGCAGGTCAAATGTAATCTTCAGGTATGATCTGAAAAGATTACTTATTCTTAGGAGCTCTCTGAAGACATTTAAAATGTACCTCAACAGGACTGGCATCTCATAATCATGCAAACATGTACATACTGTACCTTGGCGACATACCAAGAATGAACAGGAATCTCAGATAATACCTTCCTAAATAGTTCTGACTTCAAAATACTGTCCTTGGCAAGCTTCAAATAAACAAAAGAACCCCTTAAATGCCACAGTTTGGAGTTGTTGGGGACTGGACAGGCAGCAAAAGGAAGCAATAATGCAAAACTGATTTCCTCCAGGAAGGAGTGAAATCGGCGGAGACAGGACTTAAAAGCAACACACAGCATTCTGGAACAGGTATGTTTATTTGTTATTAAGTTGCCTGCAGTTTATAGGTGCTGCAGTGGCCGAACTATTTCACTTATGGCACATTAAATTACATAATAAACAAGAAAAAGGCAAACTGTATTTCATTCATTACTTTTGATCAAAATATTATCTATAGTATTTGCTTATCTTTCTGCTCCCTGGTACCATTTGTCAACTCTTTCACATCAGACCAGAAATCCTCGTGTAAACTTTAGAACACTAAGAACATGACCTTCAGAAACCATAAGAATTTAAAAATAAAACCAGCTGCTGGGTATGTCAGCAATTGCAAACACGCGAAGGCTACACCTGTGTAAATGGACAGACTGCTGCTCCTCAGGCCCAACTTTTTTCCAATAGCCCTTTTACAGCAGTCCTCCTAAAGCCAGGCAAGTGAGTGTCACTGCTCTGTAAGGCAGACTGAAGCTCTCTTACTTGTGCCAGAGCTGAATATTCCTAACCTCATTCCTACAGCTACTTAGGGCACCGTGTTCTTGGCACTGAAGGAGAACTCAGCTGGAAAAGTGGAAGGATGGCAAGCCAGACATACACATAGTCTGCGGGTGGCCAGACGACCAGGCGGACTTGAATGGAAGCTATGGGGAGGCTGATCAGAGTCTCACTGCCAGCAGGTGCTGGTGATATGTTGTTCAACAGCTTTCAGCCACAAACCGAAGGCGCAGAAGGATTAAGATTACCTGGAAATCAAGATTTTTCTAATTCCTGCTGTAAACTGCTATTTTTAAAAATAAAACATAACAAACAGAAAACAATCAAAAACACAAGAAGGTATTAAAATAGCGAGTCTTTTGTACATCACTGGAGCATGAGCTGCTTGAGGTTGTCATGAAGAATAGTATCCTTCACATCCCGGAACACAAGGCGGATGTTCTCCGTGTTGATAGCGGTGGTGAAGTGGTGGTACAAGGGCTTCTGCTGCTGGTCCCGGCGTTTGTTCCGGAAACATTCCACCAGGAATTTTTGGACGTCTCTTAAGCAGTGTGGATCGCCTTCAAATTCTAGGAAATAGTCTTTGATGCTCACCACTTGTACTTTTTCCTCAAGCAAGTCTGTCTTGTTTAAGAAGAGAATTATTGAGACATTGCTGAAAACCCGGTTATTGACAATTGTTTCAAAAATGTTCAGAGATTCTGTAAGGCGATTGGTCAGTCGATCCTCCATGAGCACCTGGTCAAATTCACTTGAGGAAACAAGAAAAAGTATTGATGTCACACTGTCGAAGCATTCAAACCAACGTTTCCTTTCTGATCTCTGACCACCTACATCAACCATTTTGAAAGGAACATTTTTAATTTCAAAGTCATACTCATGAATGCCTTTGGTAGGTCTTCTGGCAAGCAGAATATCTTGTTGTGATGGAATGTAATCCTGGAAAAGAAAACAGTTTTATACTTAGTAACTGAGAACTAATGATTTCTAATGTGTTAACTGGCCTACTGAGTGGATACGCAAACAAAATTACTTTCAAATGACCTTTTCTGATACATTAAAGTATCAAATGCTGTTACTATCATTCTCATTTAAAGTGTCAAGACCCGCCAGCTACCGAGGAGGCCCAGGCTACACTGGAGCCTGAGGCAAGAGCATGAAACATCTGAGGCTAGCCTAGGACATTTACCAAGACCTTGTTTCAAAACAAAAAAGGCTAAGGATGTAGCTCAGTGGTAGAGTGCTTGACTACCACGTACAAGCCCCTAAGTTCAACCCCTAGTATTGAAAGGGAAAAAAGAAACCGGGGCAGAGAAAAGAAAACACAAAGAATGGTTCAAAATTAACTGTAAATGACCAGCATCTACTGCTTCCTTCATTCGTGCAAGGCCACTCACATTTGAGGACTAAAGTACCACTTGCCCTCTCCACCCCTTGGTCCTGCTTTCCACTGCTATCCACTCGTGGGTCCAGGAACAGTGACCCCACCGCTTCCACCCTCACCATCCCCACCCTGCTCCTCTATGAAAAGCAGGGTTTCAATCCAGTGCCGTTCATCACTTTCCATGTCCGCTTCTGCCCACTCCTCTGTAACCCGTTCTAAACGATCCCACACCGTGCACTACTTGGCAATGTAGGAGCAGGTCCATGCTACCCCTGCTGCTACAGTCAGTGTGTGGGAAACACTTTCCTAACTATGCGGTGCCTCTGTTCACAGACTTGATGCTTTTCACGATGCTGGTCCCAAACTGAGCTGGACAGGAACCGAATCAAATTTAATAGTTAGGTTCGACGTGGGCCTTATGCGGACTTCGATTTGGTTCTCATCCAGTTCAGTCTGTAGCCAGACTCGCGCAGAGAGCTGAACTGGCGAGCTGAGATACCACTGCACAGATCCAGCTGCTAGGCTGCTTCCAGGGGTTGTCCAAGGAGCTATGTTCTAGTTCTCTCACCTGCTGACCCAAAACCTCAGAACTGGCCACTCAGTCTGAGTGTCAACACCCCTGCCTGTGAAATGGAAGTGACCACACCTGGCCTGTCTGCCCAGCAGGGAGGGTCCAGGCAAAGACCAAGCGAGCGCATCCTGAACTCCGGAGCAGGGCACTGAGATCCTGAACAGGGGGCGGCTACCAGCTATATCCCGCTGGCGCCCTTCCTTACGCGATGTAGCTGGGTCTTCCTTTTCAGCCTAGCATTTTTCCACAGTGTTCACACAGCTTTTTGGCAATATGCAAACGGGAGCAATTTTAATGTTCATCAAGGTCAAAATACTTTAACAATCAAGGCAGGATTCAAAGCAACGCTGCTACTCACAACGCTGCCTGTACTTTACGCTTTACCAAGCAGTGAAATGTGATTTCCAAATGTTATCACAACACGAGCACTCATCTCCTCAAAATGGTACGCTGGGTTAGGGGTGAGAACAGGCAGTCTTCGGTACTAGAAAGGCACAGCGACTCACAGCACGACTTCAGGGTCCAACGCAAGCGTGAACTTCTCTCCACTTCCTTCTGCTCCTGTCACCCACACGCCCGCTCCCTGATGGTCAGCACGTGCGCACCACTGCCAGCTGCCAGCAGTTTCCTTCACACTGTACCCTAACTTTTCTGCGTTATCTCCTTTTAAAAGATTTGATATATTGCTGGCCATGGTGACGCACGCCTGTAATCCCAGCACTCAGGAGGCTGAGGCAGGAGGATTGCCAAGAGTTTAAGACCAGGCTGGGCTACACGGTGAGTTTAGCCTGAACTACACAGTGAAACCATGTCTTAAAAAACAAAAACACCACAAACTAAAAGATTTCATATATCAAAGGTATTAATGTGCTACAATTAACATTCCCCTACTGGTGGTCATATAGGTTTTTTCTAATTTTTACTCTAATTAATAGAAATACCGCAATTAAATTTCTCACACACTGAAGTTTTCCATTTGGACTATCTCCGAGACAAAAATAATCAGTGATAAGATTATGAAGTCAAAGTGACTGTGGACACTCACGAACTACTTTCCAGAAGTGGTCATCAGTTTATTGTGAATATCTCTGCCACCTATTTCACATGGGCCAGCTCACAGGTATTTGAAAAACTTCAGACTTCATAAAAATAAAAAGTTCTGCCGGGTGTGGTGGTGCACGCCTGTAATCCCAGCACTTAGGAGAGGCTGAGGCAGGAGGATCAATGCGAGTTCAAGACCAGCCCGGGCTACAAAGTGAGCTCAAGGCCATGCCATCATGCACCCATCCATTTGCACAGCAACGCACGTGCAATGCAATGGGATGGAAAAAACTTAAGCACCACCTTCTACAAGTCTGTCTTCATCAAAGTCTGAGCCAAGAACTTTCCCTAGCCTTCACCAGACAGATGTGCCTCCTAAAACCAAGCCCATCCAGCTGTCTCCCACGCCAGTGGGCCACGGCACATAAATCTAAATCCCATCTACCCTCCAGACAGGTTGGGCTCACGTACTCTTTTGTGAACTAACTACCTTCGGGACTGGTATCATTGAATTGTTCCATATTTGGTAGCTCTGACTGAGCTCTTTTACTCGATGTACAGATCAAGAAATGAACAGCTAATACTGCGCATTCGTTACATGACTACCTTTTCCAAGGAGTATTTCATGAAATGTCCCGTGACTCCAAGGGCTGGGTTCTCCCACCACGCCCATGTTATGGACAAAGAAACTGCACTAATTTAGAGATCCTGAGGTCACACAGTCAGTCAGTGATAGGGATGGTATAGGAACTCAAGCAGTCTGGCGGCAGAGTCCATGTCCTTGACGCGTGCCCTGCTCCACCTTCCACAATGGTACAGGGCAGTGGTAGTGACCTATGGCACGCATGCGGGACCAGGCTGTTCATTACCACTAAAAGCTCTAGGCTAGCCATCGCTGGTCTTGTGCTGCACACACTGCAGGCCTCAAAGTTTGCAAATATGCTTCCGTAACTTGTCCAATATGCACAAAACGGGTGACAAAAATCCAACACTCTCAGGTTTACTCTCCTTTTTTTTCTTCCCTGGTACCGGGAATCAAACTCATGACCTTGTGCTTGCCAGACAGGCGCTGTGCCGCTGAACTAAATCTCCAGCCCCACCCTCCCTTGTTTTACAACTACATGCTGACCACGTATGTCTTGGCCAGGGATTTAACTCAGAGGTGCAGCGCCTGCCTCAGTTTGATTCTGGTACTCAAAACCAAAAAAACCCACAAAATACCACAACCACACAAAACTTTTAATTCCAGATGTGCCTGTCACATTGTTCTCAACCTAAGACTGTAAACAGCTACTACAAAGAGCTGGCTTAGAGCACTCATTTCAAAGCTGCTGAGCGCCTACTTCATGTCAGGCACTGTCAACAGGCACCAGCCACTTCCTGGCCCTTCCGGAAAGAGGCGAATAAAAAATAAGCAGAAAATAATACCCACTGCAATACCTGCAATGAAGGGGAAAAGTGAGGGTGGACACTGAGTGCTCAGAGGAGGAGTCCTAGCTGAATGCAGTCTTCTGGGGAGGTCTGTCAGAAATGATAACTTAGAAGGGCAGGTGAAGTCGGTACTGCTTAGACCACAAGAGATCACTCTAAAAAACTTACTCACTCATCTACCAGGGCTTACCACCTCCCGCTGGTCTACTCTAAACTTTTTCTTTAAGGTTTACAATCAGATTAGATGGGAAGAGATAATCAAGTAGTCTTTAATACAAAGTTTCACTCATGTGGACTGAATGAACAAGAAATAGAATAAACTGTGGAGATCTCAACGTCTGGGGTATACTTGTGTCTAAGAAATAAGCCAAAGAACAGCGCAGTGGCTTAAAGGCAAATACAATTTAGAAAAATTCGAGGACAATGTAAAATTAACCTGACAAGGAAAAGTCTGCGTACTGTTTCACATGTCCTCCACACATCAGTATGCCACTTTCCTACTTGAACAGGTTCACTTTGTGCTTTTCTTAAGTTACATTTTTAGTTTACAACCTCAAGGAATCCTTAAGACTGTACTGACGTTGTAACGGGAATTTGAGAGGCGGCTAATGAAGCTATACTAAACTTAATGGCAATAAATGACTCCAGGGCAATGCACTCAAACAACTCTTCTGCATCCAACAGAGTCCACACACTGGCCCTTCACACCTGCCGTGGGCCCTGGACACCAGGGGCAGACGAGAGTCACCGCTCTGAGAGTGACACGCAGAGAAGACAGCACACTCCTGCCTCTCACACCACGACGCAGCACTGAACCGGACAACGGCACCTGCCGCGAGGTTTGACAATCAACCAACCCACGGTGTTCTTTCAATCTCTGCTTACAAAAGCCCCCAACAACATCGAAGATAATAATGCACAGTTTCCTTTCCAAACACAAATCTCAATGGTTTTACTTCCATGAAAGAGTAGATAGGACAATTCTTCAAGGAAACTGGTAAAGGCCTAAACAGTAGGGGAGAAAAAAAGAGGTGTCATAACTGAAAAATAAAGTATTTTAATTTTGAAAAAAATAAGTAATTCAATATTCTTGGTTCCTAATCAGACTAAAATAAAGCAGGATGAACAGGTTACTGCTACTAGGAAAAACAAAAAGTCAAGCTGCTTACTGCATATTTCTAAATTTCCCAACAAGCTACCCCTAAATAAAATCAGACTCTGACTACTACTTTCAGTATCAGTAAGTATAAACAGCCAGTTTGAAAACTTACTGGTTCTCCAAGTTTCTCCAAGTTATCCAGGAAATATTTTACAGATTCACCCTAAAAACAAGAAGAAAACAGTTATGAGGGCTTAGAAAAGAAGATCTTCTACATTACACTGTCTGCTTGTACACTTACACCAAACGGACTTCAGTTAGTCACCAATTCAGAACGGACAGTGGACATTCCTTAAAAACGTACAGAAGTACAGCTCTGCCAGGGATGGGCAACTTCGCAAATGCTCTGCACAAGTGACACCACACGTGATCATCTACTGGGATGAGATCACACACGCTTCTGGATAGAACTCCGTATCCAAAGGGCGTATATAACTAAAATGTGAAAACTGCTTTTGCGATAAACAAATATTTAAGTAAAATGTGAGATCTTTTCTGCCTACATTTTCCCTCCATAGCAATGGCAGATCTAGGAAACAGGAATCAGAACGATCGGACACGAGGAGCGATACACGTCTCTCCGGAGTGTTTGCATGCGCCTGCGTGGACACAGCACTCCCGGAGAGGCCGGGTGCCCTGCAGGTTTCCCCTCTCCAACAGCTCTTCTTTTATTGAGTGGTCTGTGCTTTCTGAACCCAAACTGTATTAGAACTACAAGCAATTTCAAATGCATGAACTGTACGACAATGAAGTCCTACAACTGAGGAAGAAGAGGGGAGCCTGTTACAGGAGAAAAGGGCTCTGGGTCTGCCTCCCCAGCTCACTCCCGTTCCCACTCTCCCCCGGGGCCTGCTGCTGCTGCACCACCCCTGCCTGCAGCTGGCTGCCTCCCCATCCCAGAAGACCGAGCTTCCGAGGGGGCAGGAGAACCACCTAAATCTAGACCTCACTGGACCGCAGATTCTCATTTAGTGCGCTGGGGCTCCCGTTTCTGTGACCCAGGTGCCCAGGACCACACTCTGCACCAGAAGACCCTACGGAAGCAGTTCTCAGACACTGTGGACCCAAGATCCCATCACGCGTCTCAAGATTCTTGAGGACCCCAAAAAGCTTCTGTTTACGGGTTATGGCTGTCAATATTCACCAGACTATAAAGTAAAACTGAGGAATTTTAACAAACATGAAGTGCCAGTAAGTGATAAAGCCATTACATGTTAACATATTTTGGAATGGCTTAATACGTGACAGCAGGGCTCTGCATCTAAACTGCTACAATAGGTTATTTTGCTTGAAATAAACGAAACTTTGGCCTTATAAAAATGTCCGTGGAAAAGGTTAACCGTAAATATTCTGTTATTACATCAAAATTACATAAATGGTAGTTTCTTAAAAGTTAGTTCCCTGTAGAGTTGTAAAGCCCACCAAGCAACTTTTCATACTCCATTACAGTCGGGCTTGGGATTTAGCTCAGTGGCACAGCACCTGCCTGGCAAGCACAAGATCTTGAGTTCCATTCCCGGTACCAGAGAAAAACAAAACAAAACAAACAAAAAAACATACTCCGTTACAATTCATTGGTCTACCCTGTACTCTGAATGAATCTTTTACCCACCGACAATTCTGTAACATCAAACACTGGTTGTTTGGAACATAGGAGGTCAGTAAGTTATGCAGATCTTAACAATGTTGGCATGTTTCACTGTACAATACTTTAAAAATCATGTTTAATATCAGCTCACTTTTACCATATGCCTTTGGGAAGCTTCTAAGCTCACAGTGGCAGGCAGATACAAATTTTCCTGAACTGAGTTTTCACTTGAAAGCACTGGTATCAAAACTCTCAGGGACTTTGTCACTGGTTAACAAAAACTTGAGTTATTTTCCTTGAAATGACAGGCTAATCTCTTTCATTTTATCAAAAATGTCTATCAAATGCTCAAGTCTGAATGCCAGTCATTCTTCCCGGTAAAAATAGTGCTCGAGGAAAAATATAGCCAGTGCACCTCTCAATGGACCCAGTCCCCCCTGCGCGATGCTGGAGATCAGTGGTGGCCGACCTACAGCACGGGCATGTTACTTTCCTTTTAAGACAAAAGACGCTGATGCACGAGTTATTTCTTTCTCAAGTAAAACCTCAGTACTCAGGTTAATGGCAGTGTTGGCACTTTGCGGCAAATCAGTGTGTTTGGGGTGCAGTCTGGTCACTAGAAGGTTCGACAGCACTGCTGGGGACCATCACCTTCCTCTCAGAGTCGTTTCACTGGACGTCCCGGTTGAGCACAGGAAACACTGGACAAGATGGGCACTCAAGGGAGGGGACTTATCATAACCAACCATTCTGCTGCTCAAGCAAGGGCAGTCTTACGAGAAACTGGATGGGCAGGTGTGCGGGGGTGTTCTTCTGGGCCTTAACGGATTCGTAGCAGCAAAGAACACAACCAGTAGTTTGAAACCAATATGCTAAACTGTGTGCCACGGTGATGGCAGTTTGGCCTACTGGGTCATTTCATCAGCGCCAAGTGCCAACATAGAGGAAAATGAAAGTAACATCAGTATCTTTCTGAAGTGTTTTCACACCAAAGACCCCATGGAGAGGGATGCTCAGAAGTCTGTGGACCACACATTAAGAAAGGTTACCTTTAAGTACTGTACATCACCAGGGATGGTGGCACACGCCTGTAATCCCAACACTTGGGAGGCTGAGGCAGGAGGATCACTACAAGTTCAAGTGAGCTCAAACCCAGCCTGAACTGCACAGTGAGACCTTGCCTCAAAAGGACAGAAAACCCCCCAAAACAAAAACAAACAAAACCCCCAAAGTACTGTGTATCTTAAAGGGTACTTTAAAGTACTGAAGGAAAACGTGTGCATGTGCGGTAGGATGGAGAGTGTCTGATTTCCAAAGGATTATGAGTGGTGGTGATTGATACTACCTTTTTCTGGACCTGAGAGCACTGATAAAATATTTACAGCATCTAAAGATGATTGTTCAGAGAAAGGAAAACAAAACATTTTCAAGAATTCAATCTTGTATTAACAGATTAATTTTGTATTAACAGATTAATTAACAGATTAACAAGAATTTAATTTTGTATTAACAGATTAACTGGCCAAACTGGAATGAATATTCTGTATTTTATCACCCATCTTAATGAAAAATGTTATTTTCATGTTATCACTGATAACAATATGTCCCAAGGGGAATCTGGGCTTCATCTTTAAATAATAAAATCACTAGTTATGGGCTTCTTCGTACAACTCCAATAACTATTAATTATAGTAGATCCAGATGAAGATACACTAAACCAAAACCATACAAAAGAATTCTATCACTCCGCGACGAACACAGCGAACATCTGAAGATACTTCCTTCTAATCATTTTATATTTAAGAGTTGGAGTTCATACAGACAAGGCTGTACCCTGATTTCCCACCTCTGTAAATATAAATACATTTTAGTAGTTATAATAATTTAAGTACATATTAGAAAAGTCAAATAAAACCACTAATCTAAGGTCATGATGAACAGTTTTGTGTACACAGCTCTATGTACTTTTTGGATTATGTCCATAGTGATCTCAGATGAATGACTATGGTAGTGGTTAAACATTTTGAAGATGCCTGCTACCCACTGCCACAAGGGCTCTACCGGTTCCACAGATCAAACAATGGATTTATTCTTCAACAGTAGATCTAGATGAAGATAAACTAAGCCAAAACCATTCAAAAGTATCCTGCAGATTCTTCTATGGTTAACTGAAGTGCAAACCTGGAGATGCTCATATCATGATACTTAGCATTTAGGGATCTCAGAATAAGAAAGCTCGGCTTAAAAGAGAAAATAAGCCCTACACTCAAACCAACAAAATAGGTTCAACTATTCAAAAATGTATTTCCACTAGTATTTGTTCAGCTCCACTGATGGTCAGATAAATGAGAATAAACTTAATATGAACACGCTAATATCTGAAGCAGCAACAGTCTTCCCTCTTTTTGTTTTTGACACAAGGTCTTGCTACCTAGTTTAGGCTGGCCTTGAACTCGCAGCCTACCTTGGCCCGCACAGTACTGGGATAACAGGCATGCGCCACCATGCCCAGCTTTCCCCCTTTTTAAAAGTAAATACTTACAGCCAACCACTGTGAGGGTTCAGAGAACTGGTGCACACATCCTGGTGACTATGCAAATTTACACAAAACTTATGCAAAGTTCAGAGTAACAGGCTCCATAAGATGCTTCATGACCTCTGGCACATTCTAAGGAACTTAGCATAAACAAAGTGATCTGTACAAAAGGGTATTGATGTAGTGCTACTTGTAACCATAAAATCTGAAGGTGCACTTTTCCCACTTAACATCAGGGCACTAATTTAATAAATTCTGGTATACTAACATCAAAAAATGTTATATACTAATATAAAATGTTGAGTATCGATTGTTTTGCTACAATGTTATAAATCCTCAAATAAGCGAGTTTGCTACATATGAAGTATTTATACCATTAAGGGAAGGTCTCCAACCCTGATCAGCAAGGTTTTTTTACTTTTTGTTTCATAAGCATGGCACAGCACTTACCTGGCAGGAAAACCCAATCTGAACTGATGTTAGGTTCCTCATAGTCTTCACTTATCTTACACAGCAAAACTATTCAAATGTTTTACAGCGCAAAAACAGTGGCTATCAGCGAAGCATAGGCACATGGTGATACCTTTCTCACAAAAATTCATAACGCATCTGCACTCAGGATTTAAGACTATGGACTAAATTAAGAATTACATGGTTTCATTTAAAATACGCACAGAGGACACGTTGGTTTAGTGACGCCTGCATTGTATTAAAGTGAGACGAGAGTCAGGATGTCACACTCACACACATCTGTAATAAGAAATCTACAAGGCAGCACCTCTGGACTCCCTGTTTTTAAAACCTTCTGAGCCACGACTTGGAGCTGGCAGAGCAGGCTGTGGCTGTGGACTTCAGCACAACCATCAACACGGCTGTTCAAGAAATTACAATTTATGTCCACTCCAAGTTGTAAATGCTATTCTTTATTTCCCTCCCATTAAAAAGACCATTAACAAAGGGGGGGGGAGCAAAGGTAACTGTGGGTGATTATATTCTTTTCAAAAAAAGAAAAAGCAGTAATTCAGGAATTTATACTCTG